GTTCTAGGCCTATTTACTAAGTCAATTACCTGTGACGTAAGATATAAGCTTTTTGTTTTTAAAATTGTGTTGTTGAAAGGTAGCTAATAGAAATATTCATAATGTCATGTTTAGCATATTATCTTGCAAAAAAACGTGTTGGTATACAGAAGAGGACATATCCTAACGCTGATTTCTCTGTGGGTTAATTTAAATACTATCTTTTATTGTTTGATTTTTTATTTTTTTTAATTCTTTATTTTATTGTGCTCATAAAATACATAATAGCAGGCAATGCCACAACAGCATGTACCAACCGAGATGTCAACATTTCAAGACAATATTGGGCATTAGTGTACATTGCACATTTTTATGGTTTAGGTTGCAAGTTTATAAACAAAAACAGTATACATCACTTGTACCCCACGTGAGTGAGTTAATTAAGTGTAAGTCTAGATTTGTGTTAGTCAGGTGGGGGGGTCCCCCTAGCCCGAGAGCTGTGTATGCGTGTTTGAGGTTGGACTCAACCAGTGACTGGTAAAGAAAGACCGGGGAGGGGGGTGGGGGGGAGAAAGGCTACTCCGCCATGGCTGTGAGCAGATTGGTATAGCCTGGCTGTAGTTGTGTCGTGATAGCCTATCTGTGTGTGAACTTGTCGAGTTCTTCTGTGCGGGCGGCCTATTTGTGACTAGTTCCGTCAGCTGACTCATGTGTGTGGAGCAGCTCTATGTCGTTAAGCACGGATTGCATGTGAGTATGAGTAAAAAAAAAAAAGAATTGTAACTGTCAACGAAAATAAAACTTTAAAAAAGTAACTGATAGACCTTCTAGTAGCGGTCTCAAACTATGTGAGGAACGTTCTTGGCGGAATTATAGTGACCCCATAGCTTGGGCTATCCTTAATGCCTCAGGTGGGGTGTCTATTTGGCAATGCCTTCTGGGTCTCCCTCGGGGTGAACTCCCGTACATTCGCCAGGTCGAGCTGGGACAGTCCTGTGCCTTTCGTTGGCGCTGCTGGAATTATGCCCATGGTTATGAGGAGTGACTCTAGTTCCTGGAAGGTCTGTGCCTTGTGCGTTATCCCGTTATGGGTGAAGAATACGGCTCGCGGTGTTCCCCATCGGTAGGGCATCTCTTTGGCTCGGAGGTGCTGCAGGAGGGGTTGCATTGATTTCCTCCAGGTAAGGGTGCTCTTGGTAATATCTGGGAAGATTGTTAGAGTTGTGCCCTCAAACGGCAAAGGTGTCTTGTTACGTAGTGCAGCTAGGAGTGTAGCTTTGTCCGACAGGGATTGAAAGCGCAGTATGAGGTCTGCAGATGCGGCAGCTGGAGCTCTTGCCGGCTTTGGTAGTCGGAACATCCCGTCTAGTCTCAGGGATTTCATTTGTTTAGGTGGGATTAGGGCTCCCAGGAACCGCCTAATGTAGTGGGGCAGCTCAGAGAGGCCAACTGAGTCGGGTATTCCTCGGATTTTTAAGTTGTACCTCCTCCGCTGATCTTCTAAGGCATCTAGCCGTTCCGTGGTGGCGGTCTGCTGCTTCGACAGATCTGCCATTTGTTGTTCCACTTTGGCTATTCTGGAGTCCTGTGTGCTCGAGCAGGCCTCCAGCCGCGAGATTTTGGACTGGGCTCCTTCTATGGCCTCTCTGTAGTAGGCCATGTCCGCCGCCAGGTCCCTGCGCAGATCAGCCAGCATTTTCTTTAACTGATCCGCTGTGACTGGTTCCCCAGGCGCTTTAGGTGTATTGTAGTGGTCTGGTGTGGGACCGAAGCTCGTTCCCTCCGTGAGGTCTGTATCAAGCTCCTCCGAGGAATATGAGGCAAGGTCGTCCGCCATTTTGGACCACACGGCCTGTTGTGTGTTCCTCAGCATGTCGCCGATGTCTCTGCCGTGAGTGCCTTTCTCAGCTTTTGCCTTTTTAGATTTTCGGCCCATGGTCTGCAGTGAGGCTTAGGAAGCTGTGTGGGTTCTTTTGGATCTGGTTCCGCCGTGAAAAGGGTACTTTTATGTCGCGTTTGAGTCGGAGTTCACAAAAGCGTGGCCGCTCCGATCTATTGTTTGATTTTTTTGAAGCATTTGATATTGTTTTATTTATTTTAAATACAAAATTTTAAGGACTGGGGAATTTTGACCTAAACAAACCCGACTTTGGAAAACCTGTAACCTTCTAGGGATTATAAATTATATTTAGTTTTTCACAGAAACCCTGGCAGACATTCTGCCCAACCACATTTAGCGAGATTTCTGTGATGCCAGTGATCCCAGTCGAAATGTGCATATATTTTAGGAGTGCACGTAGCAATCCACAGGCAAAACCCATTTTTGGTTAATTTTACAAGAGCAGGTACAGACTAAGTCCAAGTCAATTACAGAGGTGGTAATGGGATCTTATGCAGATCTCTCAGAAAATAATGAACATACCCATATTTTATTGATCAAATTTTGCATTAAAGTCGTAATAATTTATTCTTGACCCTAAATTCAGTCATGTTAGTTACTATATCTATCTGTCTTGCTTTCTATGTTCCTTACAAATATTTTAGCTTTAATGTTTCTTTAAAGCAGGCGTTGTTGAGATTTTAGTTAACTTGCTTGATCCTCAGCAAACCCTAAAGGTCCTGTGGCTTTACTGTTATCATTGAACTTCAAAGTCAAGGACACTTGGCCAACCCGAGACAACTTATGGATATCAAATGTTGAGGTGTTATCACCCTACCCATCAACCTGTTAGAGCATGTCTTATTTTGTTGAGTATATCTTCCATAATTCTATGGCAATGTATGGCACACAAATAATTATCACACCGGATCATGAGTGGTAGTTCCTCAACAGTTAGGACAGCGCAGTTTGACACAACAAAACTAGATAGATATAGTTCGCATTAGCAATTTTTCCACAAGCTTTGGCCAATATCAGGACGAGAGTAAAAAAAAATAAATGGTTTTTAGATATATGTCTGTCAGTCTTCTTACACGTGTTGCTTCTATATTGACTTTAGGCACATTTGCATGAGTACATTTCCATTTCCCACTCAGCCCACTTACTATTTTTAATTTCTTCCTAATTAGAGGACAGCACGTTTCCATTAAATGCTTATTCTAGTAATTGAATACACCTTATACGAAAGCCTGGAAGTCACAAAGATCACTTCATAATATATAATGAGAGGCTGTAGAGAGCTAATCAAAGATAAACCGCGTATTGCCATATCCTTGCTAAGAGAGGAAGTTTAATAATTTCTAGGAATTTCAACCTTATATTTAGGGCCATTGGATTAAGCCTGTGGGTACTTTGTATCAAGGTTCTTTGAAGTGTAACTAACTGCTCAAATGTATAGAAATATAAGCTGGATATTCAGCGAAATACTGAAACAGGCATTAAAGGGACATTCTGTGGTGGATTTTCAACTTTAATTAATTTTGTGTATATTGAATTAAATTAAAAGCAAATATACATGACATATATAAGAATAAAATGATGCCCTCTATTTTGTAGAAACTGGTACTATAGTCTAGCTCCCTGTTGTGATGCAAATGCTTACATGGGAAGTATAGCAAAAACACATTGAGGGGTTTATGCGCCAAACACAGAATTGTAATTAAAAACCACATTACAAAATATATTAATATATATGTCTATCTATCTATCTATCTATCTATCTCTGCCACAACATTAAAACCACTGACAGGTGAAGTGAATAACATTGATTGTATCATTACAATGACACCTGTCAAGGGGTGAAAAATTTTAGGCAGCTAGTTATTCAGTTCTTGATTTTTTATGTGTTGAAAGCAGGAAAAATGGGCAAGCGTAAAAATCTGAGGGCCAAATAGTGATGGCTAGACGACTGGATCAGAGTTTCTCCAGACGACAAGTCTTGTGGGGTGTTCCCAGTATGCAGTGGTTAGTACCTACCAAAGGTGGTTCAAGGAAGGACGTTGTTCAGGAATGTTTTGCAGAACGTGACAAGGTGTTGTCTTGGCCATCAAATGCCCCAGATCTCAATCTGATTGAGCATCTGTGAGATGTGCTTGAAAAACAGATTGAAAAACAGATTTGATCCATGAAGGCCCCGCCTTGCAATTTGCAGGACTTAGTGGAACTGCTGCTATGTCTTGGTGCCAGATACAATAGGACATATTCAGAGGTCTTAAAGGAGTCTATGCCTCGATAATGTTTTGGAAGTTTGAGGAGGACCTACATGATATTACCACTACTAGCCAGGCTTTAAAAGTTACTTGCTATTGCAAGCCTGTACATGGCATACTCATAAGGGGCGTATTTCTACTCGCAAAGGAACGTTTACTTGCCAGTGGCGAGTTGAATTTTTTTAGTCCTGTATATATATATTGTAAAAATGTATCTATTTAAAAAAAAAACAATAACACTTTCATTCGATGCTTTGTGGATAAACCCCTAAGTAAATTACTACTTAGTCAAGTAATTACTTAGTCAAGATATGACTTTTTTGACAAATTTGACGATAGGAAAGGAATGAAAATAAACCACAGCAGAAAGCTGGTAAAAACCGAGACTTAACAAAAAGATGCATATCATCACCACCTAGTAGTTACAGATAAGGCCCACAGGTGTCAAGATATTACTTGTCCACTGATTGGAAATAAAGACGGTCCACTGATTGGTGCAGGTAATGGAAAAAGAACTGTTTAAATCTTCAGGAGGAATTTAATGCTGTGCTATACACAAACCCCTCTTACGTTGACTCAAGTAGGCAATTGAATGATTCTAAGTGTTATTTAGTAGGGGCTGAATTCTCTTAATAGGGATAAAATTAGGGGGCGTGGTTAGGACACAGAAAGGAGCAGACGCATGGCGTCTGAGCTCCGGCTGAAAATCACACTGATATAAACACCACTGTTATCAGACACTCGATCCTGGCAGACACAGAGCCCAAAGAACCCCTCACAGTATGGGGAAAAAGATTAAATGGCTCAAAGCCCTGATTGGGGATGGTTCCCCTAACATTAACAAACTCCTGCAACCGCGGCCTAAACCTAAAATGGCGGCGCCGCCCGATTCTCCTTCTTCCTCCTCCAAAGATGAAGTCCTGTACGCCCCTGATGAAATCTATTGCACAAAAGGTACCATAGCCACACAGCTGGCAAAAGATCTATCAGCCCCCGCCACAAAAATATTAGGGCCTTCTTTAATGCTGACCACGACGACGATGCAGGAGGCGGTGAAAAATAACTTGTGCAGATCCACATTGGCCAGGAGAAAGTCCCTTCAGAGAGTCACCCTAACTCTACGTTCAGCAGGAGTCATGGTTTGACCTCATGATGGTCTAGTAAAATCGAAGCTTACCTTACTTAGACAGCAAAGGTACACTAAGTTCCCACCCCATTCCCCAGTGCTCAGGGGTTAATGAGCGGTATTTTCCCTTAGTACATCAAGACTGCAATCCACTACATTTATTACTTCACTAGCCACATTCCAGTTTAGGTACTGACCTGTCAGCTGAGCCTGACCACACGGTGTCCTAACTTAGTTGCCTACCTGCAGTGGCTCTACAGCGCAACTCCCCCTTAGTTACGTACACCTAACATGTTGTTATTACTTGATTTTTTTTAAAAGTGCTGTTTTAACATGTGACTTTTTATGCTGTAACCATATTGATTCATAATATATGCACCCTCGATAAGATGTCTATGTAATTTTGAATGTCTCCTTATGCACACAAAAATAAAGAATTACAAAAATAAAATAAAATAGGGCTAAAATTAGAGCAACTGTGAAATTTTTTGTTTTCTTTCTGTTTTTCTTCTTAATGATCATATTGCCTTTTTGCCACATGCCTTTAATTTATATTTATTATTGTTTCTTCTTTCAGCCAGATCTTAATATCTCCATTTTGTTTCAGTCAATGATTTAACAGATGTTTCTCCTCTTGTGTCATTTCATCAGTTTTTCTTCCTTCCTCTTTTCTTGGTCACATTTTTCTTGTCTTTCCCTTCCTTTTCCTTCTTTCTCCTTTCTCTTCCCACTCCTCATCCTCCTCTTTCTTAAATTTGTAAATTTTTTTTTTTCCTAGCAAGTGTTGCTCTGTTTAAGACATATAACACAATGGTCTTGCACTTAAGTTGAAGTTTCATGAAATTTCCCTTTTTTCACTAAGGACTAAATCATTGAAATTCGACATACAGTTCACTACACATTGCAATCCTTTTGTATCTTTATTTACTTTTATGCCTCTTGTATATTATTTCACTTATCAGATTGTCACCTCAGAACATATGCAGGAGAACCTTGATTCTCTTGCAACTTCAGGGTACCGATGAGAAGCAAAGGAGCACGGTATCCAGCCAGACTCCGAACCTCCAACACCTACACGGGCGAAAGCCTCTCGTGGTCAGATCAGTACCCACCAGCCGTGGGGGGCATACGACCACACGTACCAACTGCAATCCTATGTAGTTCTTTATACTTGGAGTGTATCTTGCACCTCATGTAGCGGGCGTGCTCACCTCATCCTGCCCCTAATAAATGCTCCACATACCTCCATTTGTTCTTCTCTGTCCATTAAGTCTACGGTTTTCTCTTATGTGGGATTCTTTTGACTGATGGAAATTATCTAAGCAACTGAAACAGAACTTTGCGTATGCTCCACCCATTGCCAAAAATTTGCCAGAGATCATACCTACTTTTTCTTAAATATAACTAAAAAACTAAAGTTGATTAAAAATATAAATAAAAGCAAGGAGAAATAGAGAGGGACAAAAGGGATTAATCCAAAAACAAACTTGCAAAGTGAGAGAGCCACTTTAATTCAAGCCAATAAATCTGTATTCCTAGGGCTGTAAATTGGTTCCCCCTCCCCCAGGACCAAAAATAAATAAAGATTTACTTAGCTTATTCCAGCACCTGAGGCTCCCTCAAGCTGCTGACCTCTCCTCCCCCACTGATGTCACAGAGGAGGTCCTGTCTCCATTGGGTCTAATCCAGTAGTCGTGTTCAAAATTACCCATAGGAAAGCCATGAGTTTATGCTTTTCTATACTGTGAAGCACCACTAGTGACTATCAGTATGGAAGCCACTAGAGGAGGAGTTGACCCTACAATATAAACACTGCATTTTCTCAAAATTAGGGGACAGAGACTGCATCAAGATCATTTCATTGGCCTTGGTGACTATAGTGTTCCTTTAAGGTAAACTAACCCAATAAAAGTATGTTCCTGAAGTCTAGAATAAATAGTTGAAAATGTCAAGTGAAAAAAAGATTCTGTTTAGAGATATTTTAAACTGTATTATTACTTTTTTATGAATAGCAGTATATTTCTATAGAAATGTAAAAATAGTATATGTATATGTAGATGAATACCTATCACTACATTTTAGTAAGTGAGATCTGTGTTCAGAACATTACTTTACCATGAATGGTATATCTTTAAAATGTCTATAATTTATCTACAGCCCAAAGCTACGGTTTCAACGGGGTGTTTATGATACCACTATGAACAGTTTCAAGGGACCTCTGTAAGATACAATACCTACTTGGGAACTTTTATTGCTAATTGACATTTTTTCAGCACCCTCCAGACAGCAGTAGTTAGTACTGATTTGAAGTGCATTTACAACATCAAATTCTGCATGGGACCAGATGGGCTCATATATCTCAGGCACCCAAGTTAAAAAGTTAATGAAGAAAATAAACTTATATAAAGGCTGCTGGGAAATCACAAAGTAACCAAATGTGTTTACATGTACAATAGAATTAATCAAATCGCGCATTTAGAAAGATGTTACTCGTAAATGAATAATTAAGCTTGTACTATCAGGATATTAAATATGCATGCAGTGAAGAGTTGTGGCTACAGTCAATGAGTTTGGTTTTAATATATCAAGTTAACTGCGGAATTCATTTAATTCAGCAGGAATAGTCACTATTTTATTCTGGGTGTTTGAAGAACATAGTTCTGTCTTTAATACTGTCTTTATCTTATATTGACCTAAATAGTAAAAAGAAAATTAAAAAATTTGTAAAACACTTTCAACTAAAATAGTAACATTATAGCAATAATTATATAGGGACCATAAAAATGTCTTCTTTAACTAAAAGGTGTATTCTTATAATCTTTTCAAGTTGCTTATATAATGTATACTCTTGACTGCCAAATGACCGTTATATTTAAAATGAACTTTCACTGTTATTTATTAAAAATAATTGAGTAGACTTGTATTCTGTAATATATTTTTATTGGACTAAGAATTTTGGAATGAGAAGCTTTTTGGAATTGTTCATTTTTTTATGTCTAATACATATCTTTGTTATAGACTTGATTCATTGAGTAATATACAGAATCTTGTTGGAAAATTTCACATACCCCCCAACATCAGAATCCCATGAAAAAGGAAGGCCGGTAAGGATGGCCCATGAAGAAGGATGGGCGGTAAAAGAGGTTGGGTCTGCCTGAAGAGTTTGCTAGCCAGTCAGGCATGCATGTATGCCAAACTGAATGCCATGCAAGCAAGCTGGCCCACTGTTTCAGAACTCTCTACAGAGTACTGGTGCCCTGAGTGTAGTGCAAGCACGACTAAAGCAGGGCTAGCACTTTGCTTTTTTGGGGACTGTGTCTGAGCCCCCAAAAGCGTGAAAACAGAGAACAAAATCGGGATGACGGTACTGTCTTGACAAAATCAGCACTGTCAGGACTGTCAAGACGGGACTGTCTTGACAAAATCAGCACTGTTGTAAGCTTGATGCCAGAGTACAGAAAAGTGGATATTACTGCAGACACTATTTGGCAGTTGAAATTTGAGTATGTGATGTGGATGGGTCCAGTAATAACAAAAGTATATCAATTTATTAACTGGAGTTAAAAAAAAAAAAAACTGTTTAAATATGGGCATTGGTTAAAATGAGCATCAATGTAAGTGCTCTGTTTTTAATGCAGTGGTTGAGAGTAAAAAGCTGTGGAAAATGTGCTAATGACCCCAAATAAGAGATTATTACTTCTGCCTAATGCCCTGAAGCAGCAGACCAGCGTACTGGGAGGTGCTGGTACCGAGGCTCAGCTTTCCGTCGTGAATTTTGTCCCTCTGGAGGGCGATTTGGCACCTTCGTTGCTGAGGCCTACTCAAGCAGTGAGCGGGGTGGATCGAGCCACCTTGCTATCCTGTCCAGCAGTATACGGCTTAATCTTTGGTGCTGGGTGGTTCTGGCCTTGTCCCCCCCTTTGGACCAGCAGTGTCAGGGATTCACGAGCGGCGGCCCAAGGAGGGGGCATCCGCCGCTTACGGCTGCCTCCCTCCTAACTTTGCCGCGAGTGGTCGCTTCCGATGCTCGCACACCGCTCGTGGCTTCTTCTTCATAGTCCAACTTGCCTTAAGTGGCGGCTTCCGGCATCCACATGCCGCCCACGGTTGCTCCCCCTGGTGGCAAGTTGGACGCTGCATGCTTGGGTGCATTGTGTGTAAATTAGCGCCCAAGTCAGTCACCTGACTAGCTGCGCAAATGATGTCACTAATCAAAGTGGGAATTAAAAGTACCTCCCACGTGTGATAATTAACTCTGGAAATTAGCCAATCACAGTTAACATAAGTGTATTTATACTTACCATGTCTCCTTGCTCTGTTGTGGTCTTCTGATAGCATGTGTATTCTGTTTGATTGTCTGGTTACCGAATCTTGGTTTGTCTCACCGTTTATCCTGCTTTCTCTGATCCTTGACCTCGGCCTGTCTTATCGATTATTCTGTCTCTCTGGTTCCCTCTTACTTTGGCTTGTATTCTGACTTCTCTCTGTGTGCACAGCCCGGCCACTTTAATCCCTTAAGGACACATGACATGTGTGACATGTCATGATTCCCTTTTATTCCAGAAGTTTGGTCCTTAAGGCGCCAAGGACCGGTACTGCACTACCCATTTCTGTGTTCTGTCAGCGTGTTTGGTTCTGGTGTTCGTGACAGGCGGGGGTGATCACGGTCCTCACTGATGGACTACCATAACTTCAGCGGAGAGTGGTGAAACTGCAAGCCTGCAACCTACCTGCCAAGATGGCTGCCACACAGGAGTCATCTCCACTAACTGCCTGCACTCTAAGGCTCTATTATGAAACAAAGCTCACTCTGGCTTTTGATCGCATATGGTCACACTTCTGGGCTGCATTGCACCAAAGGTCACAGAGGCCTTGGCCACCCATGCCTTCATCTACAAGGCAACGCTGCCAAGCCAAGCAGGGTCTGTGTAACGTCACCCTCATTTCATCAGAGATGAGGCGGCAGAGGGTCCTGAAATGGAGTAACAGTTCCCGGCTGTAGCGCTGCATCCCCGGACC